CCCCCCCCCCCCCCCCCCCCCCCCCCCCCCCCCCCCCCCCCCCCCCCCCCCCCCCCCCCCCCCCCCCCCCCCCCCCCCCCCCCCCCCCCCCCCCCCCCCCCCCCCCCCCCCCCCCCCCCCCCACTCCTCATACTTTCAAAAAAATTTTCCTCTGATTTACTCCAATTTTACGATTTCCCTCCCCCTCATGCTCCAGGCCTCTTCGCGCCGCCACCGGATTTTACATGTACAAAAACTTTTAATCTCTCAATGGGAAATGCCAGAAAAACTAGTTCACATATTTAGTACAAAAAAGTGATAATTACTTTGACAAGAACGATCAGGAAACTCTGAAAAAATGGACTGTTCAATGTTGTTGTAGCTATAAGGGTATGATATAGAGAGGCAAAATTGATACAACAAGATATGAAGGACAGTGCTATCAGAAAAGCGCATATGCATTAAATTGTTTGTTTGCTATGTTCGGATGTTGTATCATTAATAGATACTTGGATTGTGTCTATTCTTCTTCCTGTTTTTCTATTTTTCATTCGCTCTAAACTTAAATCAAATAGACGATAATAAGGTGTTAACATTCTCCATTCTTGTTTATCATATTGAGAGTCAATTGTAATTTTATCAATTGTATCTGATTGTAGTTTGTTATTTTCATTTTGCATGATAGATGATAGCCAACGAGGTTCATCAACTTGAATGATATTTTCTGGTATAAATTGATTATACTTCTGTTGAAATATATCTTTTTTTAATTTTTTTATTTCTAATAACAATTCATCTAAATGTTCCATATTTTCTAGATCTCCAAGTTGGTCCTTGAGACTTAGCGCATAAATAATGTATTCTTCTGCTCGTTGAAAATCGGATGATTTTAAATAAATTTTACCTTGAGTATAAGAGTGAGAGAGAGGAAGAGATTATAGATACTCTGGTTGACAATGTTAATTACCTAATAGAATATTTGCTTCGATTACCATTAACTCTTCGTTGGCTGAGCTAGCATAATCCAAAGCTTCGACAGCATGTTTTTTAGCTTTCTGTATATCTTCTAATCCTAAATAGCAAAATCCTAATTGTTGACAGACAAACGAACGTTCATTATCACTGATTGCTTCATTCATCATTTCTTGAAGAGATAGGATTGCTTCTTCATATTTATTCGCTGATATGTAACACCGAGCGATATCAAATGTCTAAAAGAAAATTAGATTTGAATGAATTTGAAAAAGATTCCTGCTCATGTTTACTGACCGCACGATATAAACATCCTTGATCTTTCAACGGGAATAATATTCGATGAGCCTATAAACCGATATTGTGCAATAATATTGTTTCTCTCTTTTAGTACTCCTAAAATAATCTTACCTCTGTATAATTTTCCAGTCCTTGATCAAATATTTTAATTTCTGTATAAGATCGACCGGCTAATCGATAGGCTTCTGCCAGCATTAAACGACTTCTCATATCCAACAGACTATCATCGGATTTGAGACAATTGATCACTTTCATAGCGCGATATAAAATCTAGAAATAAATAACATTTAGTTATACATATCCAACTGAAACTCTTGAATACCTCCATGCTTTTTTCTTTTGATGATAGCTTTTGAAGATGCATGAGCTCTTCTTCAGCAAATCGAATTAATGTTAATCGATCCATGCCCGGTAGACAATTAAGATATGAACGAACCTTTTGTTCATCAACATGTAAACATTCGGCTTTATCTAAAAATTTCAATTGAGCTTCGGTAATAAATATTGCTTGTCTTGCTTCTTCTTTCGCTTTCTGCAGTCCTGTGAACCCTGCGATTGGTTGTAAATCTGTACATAAATTCAACAATAATTTTCGATCTTTGGCAATTTCTATGAGTAAACGATTTGCTTCTTTTTTTGAATATTCTGTGAGTACGACAGGTGGTGTTGATGATTGTCGACGAATGGGTGGCCGAGAACGAATATTAGGAACAGATTTTTCTTCATTTTTAAAAAAATTTAAATCGCCACTAATTGTTAATTTTGCGTGTGGACTACAGATGGTACATTCTAAAATCTCTGTGGCCTTTCGAATTCCTTCTACACAATTTGGTTGTTGAGGTTTTATTTTATTAGCTCGATGAAAATACATAAGCGCTAGCTCAAACTCACCATTTGCATAGAGAACTTCAGCCTTTTGTATACACGCATAATATGACAAAAGTTCTGGAGAACGATACGATACAATAGGTGATTTTGGTTTAACGTTATCTTCTATAAGTGAAAGTGCAATATTTGTATCTTCTTGTGCCTGTGTGATATTGCCCATTTTGAGGTGAACACGTGATCGATCAATATACGTCCTTGTATTATCTGGATCATCTTGCAATGCTTTACTATATCCTTCCAAAGCGCCAGTTAAATACTGTCTTTTTTCATAGAATCGACCAACGCTCGTATTCACACCATAAAATATCGTCTTTTTTGCGGTCTCTTCCATTTATGGAACAAATATTTTCACCGACATTCAGCATTTATTATTCTTGAGTGATCATGTATAGTCCGTCAATCAGGTAAAAAGAAGGAAGAAGAGAACGTAATGAATTGAAATAAATTATTCTATTCATTTTATATATTCAAATTAATATTCCCCTATAGCATATAATAATTTCTGTAGGAAATTCTCAAGTTTAGCTTATTTCTATAAACTTTACCATGGTTACAGTATTCTTTCTCATAGCAGTCTTGTCAGTCGTCCATCCATCATGAGAGAAACCCACATAACAAGCGGGTCCAATATAAGAACTAGAACCTAAAATCTGTTTTCTGTTCATTTGTACTAAAAACGATAGAAGTCTAGAACAAATTGCCTTGTACTATTGTTCATCAGAATACATTAAGAGCATTTAAAACTGTATTAAAACATATTTTCACTATCTAAACTTAGCTGCGTGTGTGAGCGCAACTGTTTTTCTTTTTCTTATCTGGTGTTACATTTAAACACGTTCTAGCTTTCTTGTACTTTCCAATGTATTTTTTATAAAAATAAATTCAGTTCAGTTCAGTTCAGTTGTGGTTAATTCATTCGCACTTTGAACTAGTGCGTGTTACACTTTGACTAAACGAAGGATACATAATCTATGTACTTAAGATCCATTCATTTAAGTAGCATCCATAGTTTGAACAGAAAATACCTTTATTCATGATTTTTCACTTCCGTAATATCAGTTTGAACAGTGTTAATCATAAATCAGCTTAATCGGCCACTATCGATTTCTCCTGAACAATTTTTATGATGAAACTAGATTTTATTGAAAAATAGAATCGAAGATCACGTTGGGCTGTACAAGTACGTATGCTATCGAACCGACGATCTGAGACATATGCAGAATAAGTAAACCCATGGTTAGTATATGTCTTCGAAATACATGGCAAGCAATTGCTGAATAATTCTTTCTGATGTGTTCTTGATGAATTTACTAGACAACTTCAACTGTTTCAAGTTTATTTCTAAAAAAAAGCAAATAAGATAATTAAAATACATTTTTTTCTTTATCAATTTCTGGTTTACATCTGACAATCATTGTTGAGCACCGGGATGTAAAATTTACCAGAATATTCAAAATACATACACACTCACGCACACACACACACACACACACACACACAGACATATAAAAACTAATGCTAATTATATACAAATGCAAAAAAAATATATGAAGAGAAAATAAGAAGAAACTTTTCTTCAAAATTATTAGCTTTGTGCCACTAATAGGATAAGCACATTAAATTCTTTGAGAAAAAGAAAACAACGAGTTGCACCAAAAAAACACGAGTAGTGTAAAATAGGAAAAACAATGAGAAAAAGTTCAAACGTTTTATCTTGCTTTTAAAAATATAGCTTTTAAGAAAATCGATTAACGAAATCCACACCTAAAGAGAAGGGTAAAAACGTAAAAAAACAATGAAAGTTTTCAAAACAAACAGTTTTCGTACATAAAATATATGAGTTAACATCTCTCACCATCACTCATTAAATACTATTTACAAACATTCTCAAATAAAAAAAGAAAAGCAAAGTAATCACATGTTCATTGTAACTGTGCGATGCAATGATAACACTATTTTACACTATGTACAGTAGTAAAAACGACAGTATATAGAAATGGTTAACAAAGATAAGAAAAGCAAAATTTGACAATTTAATTAGATATAACTAATCAGAAGTATATTCTAAAAGAGATTTTCATAGAAAAAACCGACATCAATGAATTCATGAATTCGAATACAAAAAATGAGACTACACACACAACCAAAAAATGTGTCTTATAGAGAGAAGGTAACCGATTTCTATATAAAATAATTGGTTGATAATTCTTCTGGTTTTAAAGCAACTTCAGGGAACATGACAAAATTCCAAATTGGATATAAACTATTATTATCAGTTGGCGATGAAGAACATGAATCTGTAAATAGATAAAAACTGTTTGAAGAACAGCAAGATAACGAGGATGCAGGTGATATCATCGAGGATGATAAGACGGTTGTTGATGTTGCGGTTGACGGTGAGAGAGGCGGAGTTGTTGGGCTCCAAGACGACGAATTAAACGTTACGCAACATTTACCTAGAGAACACGAAAAGAAATATATTTTAAAGATTTTAATGTTCATAAATAACGACTTGATGTAAAAGTTCAGTAGCAGGAAAAGGCGGTGTGCCTTTATTAGCTGAGTGGCGGCTAAATTTTCATAAGTAACAGAATATTATAAGTTTCATCCGATCGACTTTGCAAGAAAAAAAAATACTTTGGATTAAGCACTCCCATATTTTTATTTCTATGGAATGAACAGTTTTAGTCAAGTACTGCTCTCCCAAGCTTGACTGAGACACCGCTCAAAAATGTCAATATGTTTCTTTCTCTTTCTCCTCATTTGTGATTGGACAAGAACATTTAAGCGCTTAAAATAAAACAAAGATTAAGGTTACAGATGCTGGTACCGTAATTTTTTTTATTTTCTATCATTAGCGATTTATACTTTACCACTCATGTCTAATCTACTAATAAAGTGTACCCTAAAATTTACTAAATTATTATCCAGAAAAAATGGCGAATTTTATCTCAGATTTTGATGAAATTTTGCCAGCATCTAGTAAATACGTTAAATGGTAATGGTTTTCATGGTACAGTAGCTTGTCTCGACCAAAAACAGAGAAAATAAGAGCAGCATATTTGCTATTTCCTTCCTTACTAAAGATATACTAAAGAAAATCATAAACTTACAAATATGTATCTTTTGTTTGGGTTTTTGTATTGGCTTTTTACCCGTTTTTGAAAGTGCATTGCCAGTTTGAAAACGTAGTACACGATTAGCACCACCTGAAAAAAAAGTAAGAAACATATGTATCCATAAAAGAATCCATAACTACACTCTATAGTTCCTAGACTAACGAGGGAATCTCCGAGATGCCCACTTCCAGTTCAATGCTTTGTTCATGGATCGATAGACCTCAGTGAGATAGTAAATACTCTAAAAGGATCCGAGTCCATGACTCTTGAAGACCCAGTTCGGGAGAACCAGTTTTTTAGAAACACTAAAAAATAACCAAAACCTTTTCTTAATGAGGCATAATTGTGACCTACAAATTTCTGATTAAAATGAGACATCTCCCAGCTCTACACGACCTTTCTTTGCAAATTTTAAAACCAATGCGGCTATCATATTAAGAATTTTAATAAAAAGTTTTAATCAAATAATAAAAAATAAAACTAAAAAATTAAACAATTAAAACTAAAACATTAAAATTATAATTCGATATTTCGACCTACTAATACGGTCATTTTCAAGTTTCTCCTCGTACAGGATGTTACATAAAGTTTAAAACAAAATACAATATACAATCAGTTACAATCATACATATCATACATATATCAATACAATCATACATATATACAATCAGTTATTTTGTTTTAAACTTTATGTAACATCCTGTACGAGGAGAAACTTGAAAATGATCGTATTAATAGGTCGAAATATCGAATTATAATTTTAATGTTTTAGTTTTAATTGTTTAATTTTTTATTTTTATTTTTTATTATTTGATTAAAACTTTTTATTAAAATTCTTAATATGATAGCCGCATTGATTTTAAAATTTCTATTCTTAACTTTGCCCATAAACTCGAAAAATCTTTCTTTGCAAAGTTATAGATCTTACAAGAAAAGCCCTAAATATTCATTGTCAGCTCAAAGCTACAGAAATAAGAAATTAATTTAGGGCTTTTCTTATAAATTCTATAACTTTGCAAAGAAAGGACATCCAACATTCACCGGATGAAAGTTTTGAGGTTAGATAAAAATAAAATCAGATTTCATTTCTTGTTTTCACCTTTTTCAGACCAGCTACGATTACCAGATATCCACAAACAGCGCCATCTGTAATGTAGAATACTAAATATCTCGGTAATCGTAGCTTGCTTGAAAAAGGTGAAAACAGGAAATGAAATCTGATTTTGTTTTTCTTTAAACTCAAAACTTTCATCCAATGAATTTGAGTTGCACAAAAACGAAAAAGTGCGCGAAAGAAGCACATTTTTTCATCATAATCCATGGAGCACTACTCACTTTTCCGTCCCGGAGCTGATATTTGTCTTGGTGGCGATGATAACGGTTTTTCTGGTGATGTTTCACTTTGCGCGAATTCAACTTTCATCGGACGATTTTTTAAACTTGTACCGTGTGTTGCATGTAATGCAACCGATGCATCCTCAATACGATCATAGCGAACAAAACCATAACTTTCATGAAATTTTGCACATTCAATTACTTTTCCATATCGTCCAAAGACGTTGAGCAAATCATTTTGATCAATTCGTCTTGCTAAATTTCCAACAAATAATTTTTTTGATTCCATGTTTAATAACTTCTATATTTCTAAAACAGAAAATGGATGTAGTTTATACAAAAAACTTCATGACGTATCAAAGTCCTTTAGCAAACTCTGAAATACACCAAAAGTACTTTCCATGCTGATAACGATTGTACAAGAAAATGAAACTTCGTTATAAAGGAAAAGATTAATTGTATGAGTTCAACAATCATTATTCTAAAACTTTTATTTAAAACAGGAGCTTTCGATTACAACTGTAATCATCGTCAGCTACATTTAAAGCTGATGTAGCTGCCTTTATGAAGTTATTATCAACAAACAATATGGAAACTTAGTTATAAAACAGTTTCTATTTAGAAAAACAAGTTCTTTCTCATTGAATACAAGACTTTCTCTGACTTTCGACTTCATTAAAAATTAATTGTTCTTTTAAAGCCCGCCTTCCGAAAAATATAAGCTCCTTCCTTAAGATCACAATACACTCAAAACAACATTTACTTTCACACGAGTGGTCAATTTTCATTTTGAAAACATCTACTGGTTAAGATCTTCAATACATCTATTATCTTAGTTTCTGTATGACTTAAAAAATGTAACGAGGCGTCAATCCCGAGCACAGTTGTAGAAAAACAGAAAGAAGAACTAAGTGTATTTTCGATCTGAGTAAAAATCAACGTAAGATTACAAAATTCTAAACAAATTCCGTTTAATTGTAAGCTGTCTCGTTAAAATTTCGCTATTAAACAGTTTTTTATGTAGAGAATTCGATCAAATGTTAGGAAAGATCTTTTTACTTACGACTTTCTGTACGTGCGAATAAGATGGTGTTTTGTATAATTCAGGCAGAGATAGATAGTTGTCCGTCTTTTTTACTTTTCACATAGGATGGTTTACATAAAATTGTAATAACATAAACAACGTGTTTCGTTTCTTGTTTCTTTTTTTCCAATATTTTCACATAGAAGTCGAAAACAGGCTAACTGACAGAAGGAAAAGATTTTTCTGATTGGTTTATTTGAAAAAAGGACATAAACGGTAAATTCACGACTACACTTTGATTACATCAATAAAAGATAAAAACGTTTGAATGAATAAACAAAGATGAACAAAGCGAGTAAAACTGACTTAGTGAACTGTTAAACCGAATTTTACTGAAAATAATTAGTTTTAATTCAAACCTACTTAAAAATTTAAATATATAGTGTCATACCACCGACAGAACAATAGAGTTCATGCAGAGTCGCGGAAATGTGCTTGCTCATATTCATCACACTCGATAACCCCCCTTAAAATGTACCTATGGCATTATTTAATAAATAAAATTTAGCCCTAGCTAAACGGTCCGGCGTTATCTCATTTACTTCCGATTTTCTGCAAAGGTAAAACTCACATTTTTTTAATAATCGAAAAATAGGTATCTGTAAGCTTCTTTATGGTATATCAACGTGAAGAAAAAAATAAAGTCCATGCTGAGTAGCGCACACGTGCTTATTCACGTTACTTATTCAGCACGCTCGATAACCTAGAAGATTTTGTATTTTTGGCAAGATATATTGCCAAATGTTGAGGTAAATTTTTCGAACAGAATGGCGAGTTTTGTTTAATAAAAAAAAATATTATTAATTTTATGGAAATATTAGCTAGGACTAAATTTTATTTATTAAATAATGCTATAGACACATTTCGAAGAAGAAGAACAACAACAAAAAAGACTAGCAATGATTTGCTCTGTAAATTGAAAAAAACAAGCATTTGTTTGCTTGACGTATATGTATAAGCAAATAGTTTAGATATCTGTGATTTAATGCCCAAACTCGAAGTTGCCTGAGAAAAAATGGCTGATCACTTGGCTTAGATGACCTAATAAGAATGTATCCAAGTATGATTACAGAAGAATTTTTTCATTTTATAAACATGATAAGATCACAAAAATTTTGATAGAGCGTTATACACTACGAGTTCAGCATTTAGCTAATGTCCGTATTGACGTCCATTGTGCAGCAGCTCTTATAAACAATCTTGTTTCTCTATTTTATTTTACTCTACAGTTTTATCTTTCCTTAAAAAATGAGAAAAGTTTTATTTTAAGAAAAATCGATGTCACAAAGGCAAAAAAAAGCAAAACTGCAACAATTTGATTGAAGGTTTCACCATGTCGAGTTTCACTCATGCAAATGTGAAAGTGTGCAGACGTCGGTATAACAATAGATGAATTTTTTGCTATTCATCTACATATTGATGCTTCAAAAGTGCCTGTAACGGATAATTTCTTTCAACGTCTGTTCTTTTTACTTGTTTGGATAAGAAATGATATTTGAATTCATTCATTTATGTGCGGTATGATCTTGAAATAAAAGCTGATTTCTATGCCTTGGTATCAACTTGAATCCTTGATTGCCTCCTCAGTGAGAGTAAACTTTATTATAGCTGGTATTTCTTAAATATGCTTCACGCTCCGTTTTCTACCTGTGTTAATAACTTATTAAAATAGATTCGGTATTTGTTAAGTGAGATTTTCATTATTAGTCCAATGTTGTGCTGAATCAAGGACATAGCTTGATCTTTCAACCCCATCGTTATTTGTCATTTTCTGACTACTATCCGTTCCAAAATACAAGAGCATTGGTTGCTTTTTGAATAACTCAGCATTAGATAAAGATAGAGACTTGCGATTATCACCATTCGAGAGCCAAGACTTGAGGCTATCTTTTCATAAGCAAAACTGATTTTTGATAAAGTTTTCGAAGCCGGTTTATCAGAAGATCTTTGCAGAACTAGCTAGCATTTTCCGAAATTCAAACAGGAATCTATTGACTTTTTTCATGGATCTGGAAAATCGCCAAGGATTTTCCAACTTTTATAAAATCCTCAGCGATTTCTGACTGTTTAGAAAATGTTGATTTTCTACTTTATAGAAAATCCGCTCGATTTTCGATGAACTGATTTATCTGATTTGCCAGAAAAGCAATAAGGAATTTCTAAAAAGTTGGAAAATCGACAGCGATTTTCTAATTTTTAGAAAATCGATTGATTTTCTATAAATAATTTCCAACATTCTTGAAATTCGACAGCGATTTTCTAAATAGTTGGAAAATCGAATTCGGTTTCTAAGAAGACGAACCCGTGATTTTTTTCTTGCTTCTTTCACAACTAATAAAGCCTGCATTGCAACAAGCTGTCCTGTAACAGATCTCTGCTCCTTTTAATATTTAACATCGGAAATGTTAGTAGATTCGGAAAGTTCTCTCAGTTTTTGCCAATCAGCATATTCTTCGAGAAGTATTGTTGTTGTATGATACTTGGAGATCACAAAGAGGTACTGGAAACGTTCTTGGGTTGCCTGATTGAGACAAGGTCGAGTTCCACCGCAACTTTCTGAAGATCGCAAAGCGATTCGCTCTTGCTAATATTCCTCATTTTTATGTCTAAATTTAGCATCTTCCAAAAATGTAGTTGGTTTTATTAACTCAAAGACATAATCCTAATAATTCACATTTATTTTCTTTATTTTTTAAATAAAATAACAGTCGTTCAACACATGAACAATGTCGAAATTGGTTTCATTATTAAACAATCCATATTGTCATCCAATAAACTGAAATAATACACCCCACTCAATTTCGAAGTTCAATAGCTTTTAATAACGATGAAACAGTTTATCTTCAGGCATTTTCACTTTGCAAGTCTCTGATTATCAGCATTCGCACTTAGATTGTTCTTCCTCATCATCTAGAAATTTGCTGAGGATTTTCTATAAATAATTCGCAACATTGTAGAAAATCGATGTGAATTTTCCACATTGTTGGAAATTCGATTTTCTGTAATCTGGAAAATCCCTGAGGATTTCATATATGGACTTTTTGAAAATCGCCGAGGATTTTCTATAAATAATTTTCGACTTTACAGTGTATAGCATGTGAATCCGTTTTAATATGATGATAAAAACGATTATCTTTCAATAAAGCTAGAGAATTTATCTTTTTAAATGGTGAAGTTACATTTCAATTGAACATATGAAGTCTAACGAAAGTAATCGTCTGTGTATCACACAAATCTTTAGCAGATAAAGGTAATGTCCGAACTTTATCACAAATATTTTGTACAAATGTGTTATTATTCTTCTTCAATGCTGATTGCATTGTTGCTGCATTATGATATGTTGAAGATAATATCGATGATGACACGAATCCAAAATTGCAGTAAATTTGTATAAGTATCGAAGCCAAGAGAAGAAACATCATTATCAGAGTATGGAAGTCTGCTAGTTGGGTGAATGAGATTGTTTATAACGGTATGAAATTCAAATCTGATACATGACATGCAGTTAATGAATTAAAATAAGATGTTATTATGCGTTGAGAGCTCCCCTTCATGCAAATCTCAATCTAGATGTTCAACATCCCTTATAGTAGTTTGTAATGTTTCGCATTTCTTTCTTTTTCGTTTCCAGGATAATGAGTAGTGAGACGCACGCGTACGAGAAGAGTAATAAAAATATATAAAAATCCATGTGTAACTTTTGAAGGATGGTCTGTACACATCTACTCTTAAAGAAAGAGTATTTCGTCGCATACTCAACAAAGTGGCCTCTAGTAATATAGATGTCCGAATAACAGCTCAAAATTAAATTCAAAATGTTTTCCAGAAGCCATTAGGCAATTTTTCTTCTAGACCCTAGAATTTCAGTCAAATGCACAAGGATTAAACATCACTTGAACAAGACAATTCGCTAGAACATCTATCTGGAACGAGACTATGTTACTCACTCATATCCAGCTATCCGACTCCCATCATGAGTCGACCTGAAAGATTTGATTGTGAACCATTATTTCGGCATACTATATATGTCCATCATTATGCTGTCGTTATACAACATTCATTTATCACCTGCTACTGAGTATAAACAATCACATTCAAATCACTTTCATTTTCATGTATTTTTATAATTTCTCTAATAAACTTCTACTATAAAACAATACCAAAAGTTTGTCATGGTATGGAACAAAAAACACAACATGTAATGAAAGGTAATAGAACGAAAGAACAAGATGACTTTACGTTTTCCTGGTTCGATAAAATCGACAGATATTGCTGTTATTGTGCTTTTATTAATATGAAAAACAACTTTCTTTCCACCTGTATTGTCTAGTTTCAATTCTCTGAAATCATTAGTCTTTGTATTATACTTTTGGACGTGAAAAATGGCATAAAAACAAAAAAATTATCTTGTGTACTCATTATCATTATTGTTGTAATCAAAGCAGTTATGACCTTGATATGCGTTTGTTTTGACGTGTTCGAATATTTTCGTTTAAAACTGAAATTTAAAGTATTTTTAAAATATATAATGCTTCTAATTTTAAAAAGAAATGACATCGTGTGCTTTTTTTTCTCTTTGTATGAGTCAAATACAAGACGGGAAACAATAAACACTGGATAGAAACTATCAAACATCTGGATTTTATTTTTCAAAATAGAAATGATCATGGTTGACAACCTTGTTTTTTGTAAGTATCTTTTTTTTTCTGTTATTTTCAGATTTCTGGTTGCAGAAAATTTTATATAAGAATACTTTATAAATTTAGATCAATAGTAATTGATACAAATATTATTATATAAAGGACTATGCTTGATATTGTACAAAGATATTATATGCTAATAGCTACCATCCTATTTTAATTTTAGCTCTCACCGAACACTATTTAATGTGTTACACGACAGTACTATTTCAAATTTTTTTATTAATAATAGCGAGAGAAAATAATAATCGATCAAGCATCATGTATCACGCATTACCTGTAAAATCAAATAAAACCATACATGTTGAAGAATATGAAACGATTAAATTCGATTGTTCTGACAGTAGGAAAGTATTAGCTGCGTGGCGAGTAGCGCTTCGGCATGATAATGTATTTCGATATTATTATACTGAACCAACGTTACGTTCAATACTGTTGAAGAAAAATGAAGAAGAAGATAAACCGAGAGATATTAGTTTTGAAAATAATTCCTATACTATGATCTTTCTCCACGTGAGACAATGGATGAACGGTGCTTTTGAAAATATCGAATGTGTAGTGTATAATAATGATACGGATCAGTTTGAGACATTTGCATTCTATTTGAATATTTATGGTAAGAATTTGCATGACTTAACCTTATCTAATGTCCGACATATGTTCTATATTAGTACCACCATTTTCTTTATCATTGGAAATCGATGGTACAACGATCAAAGATCATTCGACCTATTTCTATGATGATAGTCATGAAATAAATCTATCGTGTTCTGTATATTCGTATCCAAAATCAACACTCGTTTTAAAACTCGATAATAAACCATTGTCAATGGATATTACAGTCGATTGTGTTAGCGAAGATTTAGCAACAGTACTTTCGTCAAATGATGCCTGTTTAACACAAACAAATTGGAAATATCGAGTAAAAACAAGTTCAGTTGTACGTTTAACACAAGAAAACGATGGTCAAAACATGAATTGTATAATTACTGATTTTCCACATAATGTTAAACATCCAGCATCAACATGGATGAGATCGGTAAAAATGCAATTGAACAATTCAGCAGGTAAAACGTTAACCTACGGTTCGCATATTCGCATCAGAATGATAGTTAAACTTGTGTTTAAAATGCAAAGCGTAGATATATATCAGTTTTTCATTTTTTCCGAAGAATAGAGAAAAAATGCATGTAATTCGGTTCAAACGTATTATAAAGAATGATGACATATCTCATGTTGTAGTGAACTACGTCACAGGAGCGTCTACGCTATAGTACATTTGAGGCATGACGTCTCAAATAAAAAATGAGATGGTACATTTTGAGAAATTTTTTACTACCGTGTGAGGGAAGAAATTTGAGAAATTGAGCGAAAGAGGTGAGATTAATGTTGGAAGAAGGGCGTTTTGGGAGATAAATGGGCATTGTTTCTGCTGAAATGCAAAAATGGAACGTTTGTAGAATATAGAAGTAGGAGGTTAATAACTTTTGAGGTAGAACGTTTTAGAATTTAATTACCGTTGAGTACTTTGTACTCATCTATTTCCTGCAATGCATAATTGTAATTTCAACTTTTTCTCTCGTCTAAGTTTTACTTACAACTTTTTTGTTATATATGTTGCAGTTAGAATTAAACTTCCACTTAAAATTTTGATCTCTACTGGTGCAAAGTAAAATTCAGATGCAGATTGATATACGAGTGTGTCAGATCATACCCCTATGATGGTATTTTTTCACTCATTTTCACATTTTGCAATGTCCTCGGATATTCTCATCCAGTTCGGGATGTCCGTAAGCTCAGTCTTGCACTTTAAAGTCTATTTTACTGAGAATACATGTTTAAGCCCCTGTGGAGGCATCTGCATTTTACTTTCCACTAGTAGAGATCAAAATCTTACTCTCCACCAGTGAACTACTGAATTTTAATTATAACTGCAACATATACTCACGAAAGAGTTAGCCAAAACATATAAATATCATTTTTTAGTAACGTACTTAACTTTTAGATAAGTATAGAGAATATACCACCCTCATAAAGAACAGAGAGTATGAACAACTTATATAGAACAAGATAGAAGGCAGAATGCCTGACATTGTGAATATACTTCAACTATAAAATAAACCGTTTATTACCGTTATGAGATTTCGCGCTTAGAAAGAGGCACTGAGCGAAAATTGTTAGCTATCTCATCATCTTACTGTTTTTCTCTTGCTCAATTAGCCGTTTCTTTATCAGAAAGTGAAAAAAATTTCTCGTGAGACTTTTTAATCTTGATGTTGTTGTAACAATTCCTTCTTCAATGCACTCGAACACATTCCAAAATCGTCAATCAGTTCCTCTCTGTTTAATATATTAACAATATCTTTTTCAAACACTACACAGTCAGAAGTACAATAGAGACAAGAGATAGAAAAATCATTTTGTACTACCCAAAATAATACAACTTTGCATGTTACAAAGTGACAGGTGAGGGCGTTATGCGTCAAATTCTTGGGTGGAAATAGACGCCCCTGTTGTGTCTGTCTGAATGAACAAGACTAACTGAGAAACACAACAGACAAATAGGTGAATGTTTTGTTGTTACGAACAATTTTTAACTGTGGCATCAGTTTTAACGTACAATTATCAAATTTTGAATGATTCATATATTTCTTGAACAACTATCTTCATAATTATTTTCATTAACGTAGATAGTTCAAATATCTCTCTACGAAACAAAACATTTGACAGCTCAATGATATATGTAACGATTGAGATATAGAATTGTATTTTAAATGTTCCAAAATCAGTTAAAAACTGGTATATGCACATTTTGTCATTCAGATGACACCATATTGAAAATATCAAAATAAAAAGGACGTCATTTATTTTTTTGTTATCTCAAGAAAGTATCTGTACGTAGACCATGTCTATACATTAATTGTTTTTGATTTTTTTTGGTTTAGAAAACCTGTGCCATCTGACGACAATTACTTGTGTGTAGTATATTGAATGAGTGTTACCAAATGTCACTAGGAACATTGTCGTTTTTCTGTTGTATTAATATACATATATACTTTTTCTCTCTCGCTCTCCTCTGAGAGATATTTACTCTATTCATCATCCCGAGTATTAATATAGTTCTAATATCTAATTGATTTATTCTGATTCGAAGAGGGAAAGAAAACCCGAACAGAGTCTTAGTCTCTCGTTTCAATAGCCAATTGTGGATTGATATGTTTGTCAGATCTTTTTCTTTTTCTTCTTTTTTCGATATAAGAGAAACGACGAAGATTAAGATGAAAAAATCATGAAAATCGAACTATGTATAAATATGATTCCAATGACGAAAAAAAAAAAGGAAACTTATTTTATCGCTTGTCGATCACCAATCTTCCATTTCTTGAAAAAAATAGAAAAAAACCCAAAATCCTGAAACAAAAAATAGATGAGTGAGTGAATAAGTGTGAGATAGAGAGAAAAAGGAAATGTCAAAAAAAAGTAATTGCATACAATCATGTTTTTCGGCGTTTATGATCAGGTGGATAAACAAAAGAATAAAAAAGAGAAAATCATTTTTTATTTTTTATATTATTACTGTGATCGGGTATTAACTATTTCTATCTAATATTCTAGAAAAAACAACTAGTAAACAATCGACAAAACTTCCAATTATAATACCATCATTCAGGTAATGCCATTAGACACTCTTAAATAAAATGAATCTATTGAGTAGTTCAATTTGTTGATGTTAGGAATATACGAGAAATAGTTAGTTCATATAAAACAGGCGAAACTAAATAGTCGCTGTAAATATTTATATTTTTAATATGATAAAGAAAGTGAATGATGTGTTTCTCGTTCCAGATATTCAAAATCCTTGACAATATTAACGAGAGTGACTCTGCCCACAATACAGACATTATCTGATACTCAAACAGTTCTAACTCCCACTACTTTGACGTCAATTCAAACGAATTTAACGTCAACAACAACAACAAGTTTAGAAATAAATTTATTTATACTATCGTTCATTTCTAGTACATCACCAATAATTGCTACTGCTTCTCCCGTACATACCATCAATAACCATAATCATCATTTAATTGCAGGTAAGAAAATGTCGAGAGAAGAAGAGAAGAAAATTTGAGTTAGTTGATTATCAATGATGATCAAAGACATAAAAAAATAGTTAGAGCAAGAAAAAAAGTAAAATATCTTTTTATGTCCTAAGTTATATGGCTCCCTTCATCTAATAAGTGGATTTCAAGCCTTTAATCTTGTATTCGGAATAAGATATTAATATTTTTAATTAATTTTCTGTTATGATTTTAAAAATACTCTTTTTTTTTTTGAGTTAGAACATTTTATTTTTACTAAGATAATAGTCTTCACTTTGAGGTAGTTTAAAGAGAACTAATTTATTAATATAAAACTCTTTTCCTATTTTTAATGATTAGCAAAAAAGCTAAAAAAACGGAAAGTAAGAACAAGTATTTCATATTGAAATATATTTCCGTTTTTGTCATTTTTCTCTTGAAACACAAATCCTTCAACTTAATTTGTTTAGTGTCTTATTCTAATTTAAATATAGTATGACAGTAATATTAATGTGGCACTTACTCTAGAGAGAAGAATTTAAGTAAATGGAAAGCAGATAATAAATACTGTAATTCCTTTGAGAAAAAACATCTTTATTTCTAGAAAATTCACAATATACCCGGACTATCGTTCATCTAGTAATAATCGGTAAGAATAATTTGATTTATACATGACTTTTTTTGTTTGTATTTTATTTACTTTTTTTTATTATTGAAGCACTCAGTCTTATTGCAACATCATTAATCGCATTTCTCTATCTAACTGGCTATTCTTTATATCGTATTTTAAATAAAAAAAGTTCAACAGGTAAATGAATGACATTTAAAAGTACTTTTAAATATTATATTATTATCTTAATATTAGATTTTTTCGACAGTACTATAATTGAGATAACTTTTTTTCTATGGTTATTAATTTGATTTAGAAAGTGATGTCAATTTGGAATAGAGAATTTGTTCTATTCATATATTTTTTACACTGTTGATAATTGGCAAAAAAAGTTTTATAGAACAATCATGTTTCAGGTATATACTCGTCATTATGCCCTCATATTACAAATTATTATCTAACACAATTATATAGCGTTAAATTAATAATCTTTTATCTTAAAATCTCTATTATAAGCACAGGTCAGATATCTTAAAAATTCAATTATCCATGATAAACTTCGATATGATTATTAGTATGTGATATTTTCTCAATCAGATCAAAAAAATGATTCCAGAAATCAATTGAATATTTTGGTTGTTCAATATACGTTTTGGATATATAATTGGTCAATTTAATACATTTTCCAATAAATTTGAAGAATGATTCTATTATATTTGAAAATATTTGCTTCATTTACCTTATTGGAAGATAGTAAGGATAATGCTATCATATTAGCACCTGGTTTTATGCAAAATGGAAATGGAAATCTTTCATCATAATCGTTGGAAATTTACACGAAAAACCATTCCACGTGGCAATTTGCGCATTCACCAACGGTTTTCAGAAATATCTCAATCGATTTTTCTTCTTCTTACAGTAGTCAATCATTTTCAATTACGAAGTGATGTGAAAATATAAACAGTGTACAAAGTGCGTGAAAAGAGTGAATTCTCTATTCAAAATTGAGATTCACTTTCTAAATCTAATTAATAACCATAGAAAAAAAAACGTGGTCTCACTGAAGAAGTTACGTTTTTTTTTTATATCGAATGAAATTTATCTAAATCAGTTTTAGTTATCATCTATGATGTGATCTACTATAAATGAATGATTTGACATATTTTCACTACATATATATATATATATATATATAAGGATTAAATATTCCGAGAGCACCATAGAGAATAAGAAACTAAACTAAAACTGAATCTATTCTTTTTTGTTCAGCGTAAGCTCTATTTATTCTCTCTATTTCTATAATATTGAGAGATATATATATAGACAATGTCAGTAGTCATTTCTTGTTTTTTTTTGTTTTTCTTTCTAACTAATAACCATATAGTTCGTCGATTAACATCTTGTCAATAGATGTTTAAAATTTTCGGATTACAGTTCCAATTCTCATCAATCTTTGCTAACAGAAAACAGGCAAACAGTAGCAGCGCTTTTCAAAAATAATGTGATAAAAGAAATAGATCCTAGTATATTGATTATTTTTCTCGACATATTATTTATAATAGGAGAGTTTTATTGGAGAACTTCTTCGATGTAACAATTGAATTAATTGTTACATCATCATAGTAAGTGAGTAGTCAGTCAGTCATTTGTAACAAGTAAACAAAAATTTCATGATTTATTTTGTCTGATAGATATGTATTTAGATGAGGGGTGGCTTACTGGTACATTGTGATCATTAGTGAATGATTAGTGAAACACAAAAATTTTTTTTTTTATCTTCGGTAAAGATCATCGTGTATTTAGTATTAAAAAAGCCTTGATCGAAGTCTGATGAAATTTATTTTCTTTTATTTTAGTGATTATATCGTCAAGTTTTCATTTCGTTTTGGTTTTCTTTCTTTATCCTTATATTCGTCTTTAGACATGTTCATATCGAACAATATCTAAGTGACTAAATCAAATAATTTACTTTTATAAAATTATTATTATTATTATTTTTTTTCATTTTATTTATTCTCTTTTTCTTTTCTTTCTCCTACTCTTCTTTAAGTTTAATTTCTTTTGTTCATAAAATGCTTATCACTAGTCGATAGAGAGACAATTGACGCGAAATGAACGTATAATATGTTAGTGTATGTGTGTGTAACTTGTTCAAATATCATTGTTAAAATAATTGAGTTTTAACATACACATGGTTTAACATACATATACACACACAACATTAGCCATCTCTAATTACAATAGGCATCATTCAAAAATATAGATTTCATTTCCGTCTTGATTATTTCTTTTTGTATATGGAAAATAGATATTTAGTTTCTAGTTCTTTCATCTTCTTTTTGCTGTTTTTATATCCATATATATATATATATATATGTAAAAAAAATATACTCAATTTACTTTGAAAAAAAACTAATTTAACTTATTCTTAATTACAGATTTTACTTCTTTTTATTGTACGTACAAATGTACGATTTTTTTAAATTATTTTTTTTTCTACTAATTCTACTTTAATTTTATTATATATTGATATAATGAATATATCAGTTGAACATCAAATTCCTTTTTCATCACCACCAGCCGAATGGCTACGTATATTTATTATAATCTTATTTGTTTTAATTACAATTATTGGTGTTATTGGTAATGGTTTTGTACTTATTTGTATTTTATCAAAAGATATGAAAACACGACGATCTCCTACAAATTTATTATTAATGAATATGTCATGTGCTGATTTATTATTATTAATATTTAATGTTTTTGATATTGTTCAATTAGCTCGAGATTCATCGTGGCCAACACGTTGGATGCTTGGAGAAGCTCTATGTAAAATTGTGAGATTTTCACAAGTAGTTGGATGTTATGTGTCGGTACAAACATTGTTTGTTATTAGTGTTGAACGGTATGTATAAAAATTTCTTCTATAAAAAGTTTATCTTGATTAATTTAAATAGAAAATCTTTTTATTCTTTAAACTATTGAGTTGAATCTTTTGTTTTTATCAGTTAACAATACTATCCTGTGATAGTTTCACTTGAATTATCTACTTTTGTATTTGAACATCTTCAAGCTTTTGCTACACTATCTCCCAATAAGATGAGAGCAATCGAACGTTGATTATCATCGATTTTCTTAATTCTTCTAAGTACATGGCAAAAATGTATGAACTTACAAATGAGATCATACATTTTTGTTATGAAAATAGTTAAAATTTGATTTTTATCTGAATCTATTAATAACGATGCCTATCTCATACATAAAACTGTAGTTAATGAATGACAATAGTGTGAATGAGTTAAAACAACGATAAAATGATCTTCAGCTGAATTCTAGTTTCAATTAGAAAAGAAACATCTGACTAATTGTTTTTACCATTTGAAGATATATTGCCATTCTACATCCAATAAAAATATCGGATATCAGTCAACGTACACGTTTATTATCAACATTTATTGTCATATGGACAATTGGTATAATAGCTGCACTACCAAATCTATATCTTTTACAATTGGTAACATCAGACGTAACAGATGCATCAGTCAAAATTTGCGGTTTATCAAGTAAAATAATTCATTTAAAATTGGTTATAGCTTATAAATATTTTGAATCAATTATGTTTTATTTTATTCCAATACTTTTTCAAGTAAGTAAAAAATTAATTTCTTGTATAGCATCAAGAAATTTTTCTTTTGTTTTTTCATTCTATAGACAATTCTTTACTTTATTATTTGTCGTAATATATTTCTTGTTAATCGAGCCATGTTAGCTAAACGTCGACAATTATCAGCATCATCCAATATTCAATTAAGAAATTGTTCGTCGACAAAATTAACTTCACTCCCGTCTCGTTTAACAGACAATAGTATACCATCATCAAGACGTTTACGAAATGAAAATCGTTGTCATTATCAGTTAACATTGAATAAATCAGGTAAAAAATTTTATCAGGTAACAACAATTCCTACAAGTGGTGTTACTGTACAACAACGATCAGCAGCAACAATCAGTGCTGATGCTGATATGGCAAGGAAAAAAGCTATTATTATGCTACTCTGCATTGCCATATTATATTTTATCTGTTTTTCACCACAACAAATTAATTTTATTTATACAACAATTAAACAACATCATCTATTATTCAATAATCGTGTATTTTTTGTTATCACCATGTTATTTGCTCTACTATCAACAGCAATTAATCCCATATTTTATTATATATTCAGTAAGTATTTTCATCGAAGATTCAATTTAATATTTCGTTCATTATGTCCCTTAAAATTTACTACAACATTTCATAAACAATATCCATTTTAATACAAAATAGATATTCATAGATGATCGACTATTTAAGTTTTTGTTTTATTCTTGTGAATATTCTTTGTTCAATAAAGAAAAAAAACCTTTTTTTCAAATTAAAAAAGATAAAACGACAAACAATGTACAAAGTTACAGTACAAATGACATTGTTTCATCAATATCTTCAAGTATGATAGTATTAATAAGTGACCATAGAATCATAAGAATCCATAATAGAACGATGATATAAAGAAAAAATTTAAGTTTACTTTCGATTGGAAATTCATTAATAATTGTTTTTAGTTTTTGATTTAATTTTTCAGTTGAATAATTGTTATTATTATTAAAGTTATTATCTTTAATAGTAAATTCATCATCAATATTATCTTTATCTAATATTGTTATATTAGACCATGTTTTTGTACTATTCGTTGTTTCATCTTGATCTTCATCCATCCTTGATATTGTTGTATAAGAATTATTATTCTAAAAACGTTCAGAGAAAAAATTCAATTATAAAATTGAATTGAATTCTACATACCATAAAGCAGATATGTTGTTTTGGACGTTTAAATAATGATCGATAACGTTGATTAGACATAAATTTGTCGTTATCGATTCGGCGAAGTTGTTTGAGTCCAACATAAAGCATATTTTCCATGTTAACATAATAAGATATCCATTGAATGTCATTTCTTACCATTATGTAAAGTTTTAGCAAAGTTCTCTGCACGTTATTTCATAAATTAACATTATCTCGAATTAATGAGTGTGTCACGTGTTGATAACTTAATTTAGCATTATCCAATCATTTGTGTGATCTAATTATTATACAAGATAAGAAAGCTTACTTGAGCATTCTACATGTTCAAGACCTCCGATTTATATATGTCAATTGCATGAATACTATAGCTATGAGATACTTTTTGTTAAAGAAGAAAGATAATTGTTTTTTCGTGAGATCAAATTAGCTTTCGGTTAAATATAAATAAATTGTATAAGAAGAATAACTTCTTAAAGTCAGATGGTCTACTGTTTTAATTGAATTACACACATAGAACATGAATTATTTAAATTTGGACAAACTCATAATCGATTATTTGATTTATAACTAATGTTTATTCTCTAAAAATATCCCTAAAAGTTTAACATCTTCTTTTCCTTTATTTCCACCAAGAAGTACATTGTAAAATCGAACAACAAGAGAGATAAGAGTAAATACAGTAGTCTCTCGCTCGTATGACAAGAAAAACGAAGTGTAGATAGGTTAGGTTGTCAATACTCTTTCAGTGTACTCGGCTAAATTTCCAATTACAATTAACAAGTATTTTTCAGCAATTAGCATCATTCTTCATTGTTCTTCTGGCCGCATACGCGCCATTTTTATAGGAATAATGTACTTATCGAGAAAATATGACACGTCGCTGAGAGATACTTGAATAAACTTCTTCGAGGTCGAGCAGATAGCTTTATTCTCTTTAGTTTTCTGTCTATACCTGATCGTCCAAAGAACGATTTTTTACATTTATTTTATCTGTCTCTGAAGCTGACCCTATTGGATGTACACGAAGCCAAGTATTTGAAAAGTGTTTGGTACAAGTAATGAAGTCAGTCCTCGATGATTTTTAATTAGTAATTTTATTTATAAGCATCTTTAATTACTTTTCAAGCACTTGTCTCAGTATCTGGACCCAATGCTAGTAAATTTACTTGAAAAACTTCATTCAAGTATTTGTTCCATTTATCTTTTTTGTATGTATTCTGCAGTCATACTCTACTTTTGTAGAGCACGCACGCATCGATACCAAGTTTGTTCAATTCAGTAGAAAAATTTTAATTTATTTTCTAAGTTTATACAAATTGATATTATAACGTTTATATACGACCAATCAATGTAGAGCAAAAGAGTGATTGACTCGTCTAAGTACTTGGCTGAGTCGAATCCAACGACAATACTTGACAAGTACTCAGAGAAGAACTTGGAAAGTAAAAACATATCAGAGACAAAGTTGTGACCTGCATCCGTGCTAAAACTAATATTTTTCTTAAAATTAATTATTTTAAACTAATTATTTTTCTTAAATTTTTGACCCAAATGTGATTCAAAAAAGGAAAATATTGTCTTAGAATTTAGAATCACTTTTTGACTAATTTATTTTTTCTGCTTCTTTTTCTTTGTACTTGTTGCATGAGAGCAAGAGAGAGGAAAATATAAGGAAGCAGGAAGTTCCTTTTCAGCGAAACGAAAAGCTTTGATTTTAATCCGAAAATATTCTTTCATTTATGTAACCTGTTTTTCATCCTGTCAGCAGAATCAATCATTTAGTGCAACAGAAGGAAAATAACGAGAAGTGAAAGATGAGAGGAAGATTGTGTTAATTCACATAAACCCATTTTGGTCCATATCATCAGAACAAAGAAAAATAAAGTTACTGTAAATAGAAAAGTGCTTTTTAATATTCAACACATCATAATAACCCGGAAGATTTTCTATTTTTGGCGAGATATATTGTCAAAAGTTTAGGAATATTTTTCGAATAGAATGGCGAAAAATATTTCCATAGGAAAATAACATTAGTTTCAAAATTTTTCTAAAACTTTTGCCCATATCTCGCCAAAAATAGAATATCTTCTAGGTTATCGAGTGTACTGAATACGAAAAAGCATTTTACAGCAACTCAAAACCAACTTTATTTTTTTTCCAGTGATATGGTCTACTTTATGTACTTTTCCTTTCAAGTTCATTAAATATAATCTTTGATATTAAAAAACGGGGGCGCCTAGATAAAGGGTGGATCACTCACGTCCTTCTACGAAAAAGTTTTTGGTATCGCCCCTGTAAATTCTTTGCTCAGATTTGAGAGTGAGTTACCCGAAATTTTTTCAAGATCTTTATAACTGAGATAGACTAATTGTTTGTTACTTCCATTGAGGATATAAAGTTCATGAAATTCCTCACATCGAATGCCTTAGAAGGTGTAACTTTCGTTTCTGATGACTTCTCTCAGATTTTTTCCTATGCATGGGTTTGTGCATTCATTTCTATTTTAACGACAATCTTTTCAGAACTGATAAATTAAAAAACAATTTTTAAAAAATTAAAAATTTTTATATGACTACACGGTTGTACTTTGAATGATCATGCTTTTATTATGAAAATAAAATTGTGGAATTCAGTATAATAAGCGAGTATATATGAACGAGTAGTCAGTAGAGCTATTGTTTTGTTTGTGAGAAAACACATCAGGAAGCATAAGGATTTTTCAGCAGGTAAAACTAATTTTGGTATGAAGAGTTTTGCGGGATTTAGCTTCGATTTTGATTTAATATCCGTCTCTGCTATTTTGACCTCGAAGCGCCACTGAAAACAAGACAAAATGGCATTTTGTTTATTTTTTTCTCCGATAAGCTGGAGTCGATCGAGATATCTTTAATTCTTCTTTATATTAACTGAAAATCAGTGGCGTCTATCCCCACCTGAATATTTGAAGCATTTTGTACCACCTCGGAGGTTCGATCTCTCAATGTACCACGTGGGAAATTAATTTCTACAGCAAAAAAGCGTACCACCTTACTCTTGTTTGAGGTATTGCATCTCAAACGTCTCGTAGGATAGACGCCCCTGCTGAAAATTACTCGACGATTGGAGCTTGTCAGAAGAAAAACGAAAACAGGGAATCAAGTTTATTCTTATCTTTCTCAAAGTTAAAACTGAAGTTTCAGTTTATTGACAGAAAGGTCATGAGCACTCACTCACAGCACAAGTTGTAAACATAGCTAGTACAAAATATCTCAAAAAGAAGTCCTACTGTGCACTATTAGTATTATTTATTTTAATATGTATAGTCTGTATATATATACTTGTTATTATTTATTTTAGTATGTATATGCGTACTAAAATAAATAACAAGGATAAGCAAATATATAGAGTTAAAATGAGTTCGAACAATGGAGGAGACGTTCGCATGTAGAACGTTAAAATACCATAACAAGAAGAAAATTAACAGTTTAGGAGTATGTGTAAACCAAATCTGAACAGACGTAAGTTAGGTGCAGTTGCTAAGGACTCAGTTCGTAGTGTATTCCAGTCAGCCGCAGTCTGCCAGAAGAAAGACGATTTTACAGTTTCAAATTCAGTAAAAGGTACCGTGACGCAGCGAGAATGGGGTCTAGTGGAAAAAAAAGTAACCAGATTAGAAGAACTAAGTAATGAGTAGTTGTAGAGTGAACGATAGAAATTAACTAAACGAAAGCAAAGCTGTCTATTCTTCAAATCTGGTAATTGTAACTTTTTTACTAAACCGCGACTTTCTGTTTGGTAACCAAAGTTCCTAGTATTACTTCTGGCAGGTAATCGCTGCATAGATTCCAGTGGCTCAGTATGGGTAATCAAATCTGAGCCATAGATTGCCGAGCAATAGTCAAGTTTAGGAATTACACAAGACTTATTAAGAAGTGAAACAGACGCATCACGGAAAACGCGATTTATAGGGCCTAGCATACGTCTACAAGAAAGCTGTTTCGCTAATATGAATGGACCATTTCAAGTCCTGCGATAGATGTATGCCGAGAAGCTTTGGCGTTGGATCATGTTTTAAAAGTTGATTATTAAGAGAAAAAGATAAATTTGATTGAAAATTCCGGTCCAGACAGAAATATGTCCATAAACACTTCCCAGGACGTCGAAAACGGTGTAATTAATTGCCAATTAAATACCATTTAATACGGTGTTTAAATGGCATTTTTATGACATTTGATCCCGTGTTTAGGCCGTTTGTTGCCATTATAACCGGGAACGTTTACCCACTAAAAAAAATAATCAAATTTCATGCAGGATCCCGCGGGTTATCAATATTAAAATATTTGGCGATGTTTCTTACCTTTACGCAGGATGTTTATACTGCCAGCCCTGACAGAACCTGCATTTACCCCCTGTTTATGTAGGGTCAGCATAGAAAAAATACTGCGTAAAGGTAAGAAACATCGCAAGACTTTTTGACTTATTCAATCCACAAGTTTTTTCCTACGAGATCTGGCAGAATTTTGTTGGTTGAAAGAAAAAGGATTTTGTTCTCCATGTCTATCCTGCG